ATCTGGATTGTCACTTGATGTTACTACTCGCTGGAACTCTACATATGGGATGCTGGTTAGAGCTCTCAAATTTAAGAAAGCATTTGCTAGCTTGGAGTTGTATGATCCAAATTATAAGACGTGTCCTTCAGAGGATGAGTGGAACCGTGGAGCAAAGATATGTGAATTGTTGAAGCCGTTTAGTATGATCACAACCGACTTTTCAGGTTCAAAATATCCCACTTCTAATATCTACTTCACACAAGTATGGAATATACAAGTGTTGCTGGAGAAATATTCCATTTGTGATGATGAAGGGGTGAGAGAAATGGCCAGAGACATGCGGGTTAAGTTTGATAAATACTGGAAGGATTATAGTGTAATCTTGGCAATAGGAGCAGTTCTAGATCCAAGAATAAAGACTGAGATGGTTGAAGCTGCTTACAACGAATTGGATCCTTCTACTGCAAGCTTGAAGACTAAAAAACTCAAGGAGAGTTTGAGTGACCTTTATAAAGACTATCAAAAACTATCTCAAGCAAGTTCTTCAGGGGTTTCACTCTCGCCAACTCCACATGAGATTGTCACAGAATCTCCGCTTGAAGATGATTATGATAATGTAAGTAACTTAATATAATTTCAGATAATCTCAATCATTCATTGTCTTGAAACTGATAATTTGATTTCACAGGATTTTTTTGAGCTGGAAAAGAACATTGGAGGTGGAGCTAGCGACCCCAAGACACATTTGGATATGTACTTGGAAGAGCCCAGGCTAAACAAAAAGAGTAACTCAAAACTGGATGTCTTAAATTATTGGAAAGAGAACCAACATCGGTTCGGAGATTTAGCATCCATGGCACGTGATATCCTCAGCATTCCGATCACAACGGTAGCTGCTGAGTCTGCCTTTAGCGTTGGATCCCGGGTTTTAACTCCTTACCGAAACCGCCTTTTGCCTAAAAATGTCCAAGCTCTTCTTTGCACAAGAAATTGGTTGCGTGGTTTTGCTGAATACCAAGGTAAAAAAACTTTAAAATATCATTTATGACTATTTTTTGTAACTGATTCATATTATATTTTGTAGGTAC